TATGAAAAATATCTTGCTAGTGTTTTGATAGAATTACCTTGAACTATTGACCATTTGGGGAGAATTGACATCTTTACTATAACGAGACTTCCAATTCATGAACACTGTATAGCTTTGCATTTATTTAAGCTTACTTGAGTTTTTAAAATCAGCATTTTTGTAATTTTTAGTATTTAGATCCTATACATGTTAAGAATATACATAAATATTTCATTTTCCTTTGAGTGATTATAAATTATATTGATTTAATTTTGGCATGTTCATTGCTAGTAGAATTGATTCTTATGGGTCCTTTTATATTTATTTAAATTACTGATATATTTAGATTTATTTTTACAGTTCTATATAGTGATTTCTATTTGTTTTACCTTTTTGATGTTTCTTTCTTGCCTTCCTCTAAATCAATTGAGTATATTTTTCTCACTCAGTTCCCTCCTTTAGGAAATTTTATCCTCCATTACTTTTATTTTGGTGATCACTCCAGAATTAGCTTATGAATTCTAACTTACCAAAATATAATATTAATGAATATCTTACCCCTTCTTACACATACAAAGTCCTTAGAACATTTTTTATATTTTATATACTCTATTTTTTATATGCACATTTTTTATTTTTAGATGTTTTTCTTTTTTTATTGTTCAGTTACAGTTGTCCCATCTTTTCCCTTGATTCTCTTCTCTGCCCTGCTCTCCACCAAAGTCAATCCCTACCCCATTGTCTGTGCCCATGAGTCCTCTGTTCATGTTCTTTGACTTGCCCCTTACCTTCTTTCTCCCATTATTGCCCTTCCCTCTGACCACTGTCAGTTCTTTATTTCCATGTCTTTGGTTCTATTTTGCTCATTTCTTTGTTTTGTTGATTAGGTTCCACTTATAGGTGAGATCATATGGTATTTGTCTTTCACCAACTGGCTTATTTCACTTGCCATAATAGTCTCCAGTTCCCATCCAGGTTGTCACAAAAGGTAGGAGTTCCTTCCTTCTTTCCTTTTTTCCATCTTTCCTTCCTTCCTTCCTTCCTTCCTTAAATGCAAATTGACTTTGTTTTTCAAAAGTCAAAGTCAATTATAAAATATTAAAAAATTTAAAACCATTATAAAGTCTCAGCAATTAAAACAACATGACACCAGCACAGAAATAATCAAGTAGATCAATGAAATATAATGAGCATTCTAGAAACAGACATATATATCTGTCTAAAAATGTAATATATGATTAAATTGATATTTCAAAACAATGGGTAAAATAAGGCTTATTCAGCAAATAAGGTGCATGGACAACTATTACTTGAAATAAAACAAATATACAGCCCTATTTGACACATTATGTAAGAAATATTCAGATGAGTTAAAAATCAATTTGTAGAATCTAAGGAGTTTTTGGAGAAAATACAAACTAATATTTTTCTTACCCTGAAGTAAAATATTCAAACCCAGAAGCTATAAAGTAAATATTGAAAATATGACTATATTAAAAATTTAAGACGATATAGTAACATACATATAAAAAAAGTTAAAGGACAAGTAATAGAATGGGAAAGTATTTGCCATACATCTATGAGTTAATAGTTTTTGTTTTCTTTTTAGGGAAAAAAATTCTATAAACCTTTAATCAATAAATGGATAAAGAATACCAAAAAGTCATTTAAAGCTTTTTTAAAAATAATAGAAATAGGCAAGAAATATACTAAAACAGGTTTAGTTTCAACAAATAATGAAGGATCAATTCAAATAACATCATTGTCACAATCAGATTAATGAGTATTAAAAATGTTGGTAATAGCAACTATTGGCAACTGTGAAAGGAACTGGGTATTCATAGAAACTTTTTCTTCATCTTCTTAAAGCAGTCCCTTTAGCATATTTTGCAGTGCCGGTTTGGTGGAGGTGTGCGCTTTTAGCCTTCTTTTGTCTGGGAAACTCCTTATTTTGCCTTCCATTTTAATTGAGAGCCTTGCTGGGGAGAGCAGTCTTGGTTGCAGGCCTTTGCTTTTCGCGACTTGGAATATTTCTTGCCAGTCCCTCTGGCTTGCAGTGTTTCTGTTGAGAAGTCAGCTGCTAGCCGTACTGGGGCTCCCTTATATGTTACTACCTGTTTCTCCCTTGCTTGCTTTAGGATTCTCTGCTTGTCTTTGATATTTGCCATTTTAATGATGATGTGTCTTGGAGTGGGCCTCCTTGGGTTCCTCTCGAATGGGACCCTCTGTGCTTCCTGGACTTGTGTGACTTTTTCTCTCTTCCAATTAGGAAAGTTTACCATCACTACTTTTTCAAACAGGTTCTCTATCTCTTCCTCCTCCTCTTCTCCTTCTGGTATCCCTATTATTTGGATATTATTACGTTTCAGGTTGTCCTGCATTTCCCTCAACGCCTCTTCTTTCTTTTTTAGTCTATTTTCATTTTCTTGCTCTTTCTGGGAGCTTTTTTCCACCTTGTCCTCCAGCTCGCTGATTCGGTCCTCAGCTTCATCTAGCCTGCTTTGGGTTCCTTCTACTGTGTTCTTCAATTCAGAAATGGTATTCTTCATGTCCTCTTGTCTCTTGTTGATAGTTTCTGTGTCCTTTCTCATGCGGATATAGTTTGCAGTAAGTTCCTCGTAGTTTCCCTGTAGTTTTTTGTAATTCTCTCTGAGCTCACTGAGCTCATTGAGCTTCCTTAGAACCGTTGTTTCGAACTTGATATCTGATACTTTACTTGCCCTCTATTTCATTGAGTTCTCTTTCTGGGGATTCCTCCTTTCCCTTCGAGTGGGGGGTATTTCTTTGTCTTCCCATTATTTGTGAGACTCTTCTCTTTTGCTTCTGATTCCTAAGTTGATCTGTCTTGATTTCCTGACTTTGTGGTGTGAACTTCTGTGGTTGGAGACAGCTGTTTTTACTTTCTGGCTCTGCCTCCGATGATGTCAGACGTTGACCCTGTCCGACCCTAGGCAGTCTGTTCGAGACTTCCAGCAATCCACTGTTTGTCACTGTCTCCTTCAGCTGTTAATCTGTTCACTCTGGACTCAGCAGGCTGGCTTAGACAGCTCAGGGTGGGGCAGAATCCCTCCTGGGGTCAGGGCTGTTGGGTGCTCTGACTGTGCTGCTGCTCAGGGGGAGTGGTCTCTGCCTGATCAAGATGGCTGCCGACGCATGGGGGATGAGTCAGCACCATGATCCGGCCAGATACTCTTTCAGTTCTCTCTCCAAAGCCTCCTTTCCCAATCTCTCTTCAGGCATCTCTAGCTCACTCTGTCCCCGCCTACGCTGGTGACCAGGGTAAGTGGCTGCAAATTAAAATTTATGCGTTGGTCCTTTAAATGGCTCTTTGCATCTCCTGCTCTCTGTCTCTAGCAGAGAGCAACCCTGCCACTTTTCGCAGCTGGCTGTTTTCTGTGTACTTTTTGGGCTCTGGTGCTGTAGGCTGGAGATCCCCGCTTTTGGTTTAGGCTCCACTCTTCTCAGGGGGATTCAGTTGGCCCTTTCAATATCCTTCTGGTGCTGCCACTGTTGGGTGCCCTGCCCGCCTTCTTGAGTCTTTACTGCACTCCTTACTAGTTAGTCTGTGCTAAAGCTGATTCTTCTGTGTCCGAGGTTATAAGGCTCCTCTCTCGCTCTTATTCAGTTGTTTGTTCCAGTTGATTTCTCCACAATTTAGTTGTAATTCCAGGTTGGTCCTGGGAGGAGGATAGTGTGACTTCCACTCACTCCTCCACCATCTTGATTCTCCTAAAAAATCCTTTATTACAAAATCATAAGCATGTAATTCTGTAACATAACAATATCACACTCAAGCACACCATATGGCATTTTAGGTGAAATGTTCAAGTTAAAACTGTAAATTATTAGACCCATATTATTACCCTACCAACGACACTCAAGCAGTCATTACTTCCTCTGAAGTCTGTATATTTTTAATCCTAATCCCAATACATATTTCCACCTATTTTGTACTCTAGTCACATTTAAATAACCCCTCATTCACTTAGTCACTCATCCATATAACAAAATATTTGTTGAACCTCTACACTTATCAGTCATTGCATAAACAGTATGTATTGAACTATTTTTTTATTTTTTTTATATTTTTGATGCTTCGGCATTTGTAACCTTTATCCTAAAGAGTCCTCCTCCTCCCAGGGCTAGCTGATTCTTAGAGACAGCAAATAACTTTCCTTCGAGCATGCTTTTAATGTACAAACCAACTGGTCCAGAGTCTACACTGAACATCATCTTTATCAAACTGTCATACATCAAGTGTACATTTTCCTTTGCCCTAAATTACCCCAGGACCAGGTACTGGACAACTAAGGCTCATCTGTATAGCCTGGAGCCCACTGAATTATTCAAACTCTCCAATATTAACTTACTCAGTGTATCTACCTCGGCTTGCCCTTTCTTTCTTAAGAAAAACTCCAAAGAAGACTCTGGGCCATGTTCTCCCCACTTCCCCTCTATCTCTTGTCCAACCTTGGTGCTTTCCTTTGTGTCTCTGTGGGCCATGCTGTGTCTCCTGTTTCTAGGGTTCTGTGAGTATAAAGTTCTTTCTTTATGACAATCATTTCTGTGTCTTCATGCATTACCATACCTTATTAAAACAGATCTCTGGTACATTTTTAGAACACAGTGGTTAACAATGGTTGCTCTCATGGGCTCTATACTCTAGAAGGAGGAAGACTAAAAAAAGGTGTAGGTTAGGCTAGTTGGTATGTAGTAGGTATTCACTAGGTATGCACCAAAATGTCTGTAGTGATTATTACAGCCAACATTTTTTTTTTGATTGGGCAATGTTCATACTGTAGCAGGTGTTTAGAAATTTTGAGTAGCAGCTCTATTAGGTAAACCCCAATCCCATTTTTTAAAATCAACTAAGTATCTATAGAGAGTAAGAGATGAGGCAGGAATTAAAGCAGTCTTAGGACTTAAAGTCCAATGTTCTTTCTCTTTTAAAATATATTCTGAATTACATAATTCTTTTTCTTTCTTTCTTCTTTTCTTTTCTTTTCCTCTTTTTTTTTGTGTGTGTGTGTACCATTCCTGGAAGTATAGCAGTACTGGGTCGATGCTTGGAGTAGACAGAGCAAGCTCCTACTCCATCTCCCAGCTCCAAAAATCCATTTAATATAATGTCTTCAGATAGAGAACCTATCAGAAATTAAACTGATAAGAACACGTACTACCCTTGATCTTAACCAAAAGGCCGAGAAGCAATGAATTACTTAATTCTTAAGCCCTTTTGACTTCGTTCATAATGCCCCTTTTCTTCCCTTTTTTGAAAAAAATCTTATTTCTAGCTTAACTGCTACATCTTACATGGAGCTTCTCTGGTATCCCCAGGTAAATTTCACTACTTTTTCTTTTGCACTTTGATTATGCATCTGTTGGAGAGTCCTTATTTCATTTTGCTTCATTTATATATGTTTCTCTTATTACAATCTAAGCTCTTTGAGGTCAAGGAAGATTTTTATATTGTTATACTTAGTACATAGCACAGCACTGTACACGCATAGTAGGATCTCAGCAAATGATGAAATGAAATGTCTTATTAATTACCAGAAGACTTGCAGAATAGCTTGCTCCTTGGAACCTAAGTCCTAAATATAATTTTTCTCATAGGCTAGCACAAACTTGTATGCATTCTTTTGTATATTCCAAGGAATGGGAATCCAATTGGACCAATCACTTTCAACTTTCTCTGGCTCAGACTTTGATGACTCAGGTTCACTCTGATAATGAAATACTTGGACAAAAATTTTGACTGTGTTACCCTGGCTGGTGTGGCTCAGTGGATTGAGTGCTGGCCTGCAAATTGAAAGGTGCCGGTTTGATTGCTGATCAGGGCACATGACTGGGTTGTGGCCAGGTCCTCAGCTGGGGTCATGCAAGAGGCAACCTATAAATGTATTCCTCACGTATTGATGTTTCTCTCCCTCTCTTTCTTCCTCCATTCCCCTCTTTCTAATAAAGAAATAAAATCTTTAAAAAATTTTTAAAACTTTTGACTGTGGAATTATTTATCCTATAAAGGCAGACAACCCATTTCTGAGCAGAACTAGACTGGTCTAATATCAGCTGGGCAGGCAATCCCAGCAAGTAGGCTTCATTTGTTCTCAATTTCATAATTTAAATTTCTGCTATTGAGCATATAACATACTACTCTAATCTATGAACGGAGACAATTTGGTCTTGTCATCTGGCAGCTATTCATTAATACTGGTGACTAGCAAAGAATAGACAAATGAATAAAGACAGTTTTCTGAGTCCAGGATAGATGGTTGAAGCTAAGCCTGTTGTGCCTTTTCTTGTCATTATTGAGTTGAACACCCTAGTATTTTTGTGACTCAGGTAACTATTGTGGGAACTACTTAACTAGACAGAAAATAAAGTCTTTGTTATTATCCCTCTGGGCTAGTCATCCTTGCCTGTGAGCTGTGCCTACATGGAGGTGTTTGTGCATAATACAGACATAACTGACATCAAAGCAAACATAATGCAATAGCTTTCCAAGAGAGAAAGCTTTGTTGTTACCTTAGGGTCCAACATTACTTTTGACATTCTGAATCTCAGTGTTTATGAGAAACATCAATAATAATAACCACCCTTTGCATAGGTACAGCACCTTTCTCCCCCGGCTCTGAGTGTTTTGCAAGCATGAAGTGTTCTGTGCAGAAAGGGGAAGATGGAGTGGGAGAATCTGGCTCCAGACAATTAAGAGCTGAAATTTAAAAAATTTTTTCTCAGGGAGCATGGACACATAAGGGGACAATTTAGGATCGGAAATGAAGGATGCTGAGTTCAGCTGAGATTGTAAGGGAAAGTTAGCAAGACAGTAATGATCTGATTCAGAGTTTTGTCCAGCTAAAATTAAACATGACTTAAAAAAGCCAACAAACTCAGAAATCACTGAATTATTGAATACCTCCGGTATTTGCCTGTAACAGTTAAAGTACTATATGAAGTTTAATTATAATTACTGGCTTCCCAAACTCATCTAATATAACTTTCAAAATTATTTTTTCAATGCCTGCACAATTTATAAACATAGTAAAAACATTCCTTTTTGTCTGGAGAGTAACGACATTAAAACCACCACCACCGTTGCCAGCCATTTATTGTTTTTAGGCTTTGGTTTCTGTGGCCAGGACCTATGCCTTACTTCATGTTGGTATCCTTAGACTATGCCTTTCCTACATTATGTGCTTAATAAATGTTCGCTTCAGTTGAAATTTTGTAGATGCTTTATTAAAAACCATTTTTCATAGTTTCTGCTTAGTTACCTTTGGTTTTCATTTTTTTTTAACTGTGTAAAAATTTTTTTCCTTATGTAATGGTATAGATTCAAATTTGTTCTAGAATGTTATCTGGAATTTAATGTTTTAAACATAATTTCAATATCAGACCTATATAAATTTAAAGATTCTGACCCACAAAGTATATTCTACTAGTTTATGAGATTATTTTTAAAAAGCAAAGAATATTTTATTTAATTTTATTTATTTTTAATTTAATTTTATTAAAAAAGTTTTTTTAATATTGTTCAAGTACTTTTGTCTCCATTTCCCCCCCAGCACTCCCTCTCCATCCCTGACTCCCAACCTCAATCCTACCCCCTTTGGCTTTGTCCGTGTGTCCTTTATACATGTTCATTGATGACCCTTCCCCTATTTTCCCCTATTGTCCCTCTGCCCCCTTCCCCTCTGCTTACTGTCAATTTGTTCTTTATTTCAATTGTCTCTGGTTATATTTTGCTTGCTTGTTTGTTTTCTTGATTAGGTTCCACTTATAGGTGAGATCATATGGTATTTATCTCTCATTGCCTGACTTATTTCACGTAATATAATGCTCTCCAGTTCCATCCATGCTGTTGTGAAGGGAAGGAGCTCCTTCTTTCCTTCTGCTGCGTAGTATTCCATTGTGTAAATGTGTGATAGTTTTTTGATCCACTCATTTACTGATGGACACTTAGGTTGCTTCCAACACTTGGCTATTGTAAATTGTGCTGCTATGAACATTGGAGTGCACAGGTCCTTATGAATTAGTGTTTCCGGATTCTTAGGGCACTTTATTTAATTTTAAAAGACATAATGACTTATTTTTTTAATCCTCACCTGAGGATATGTTTGATTTTTTTTTTGAGAGAGAGGAAGAGGGTGAGAGAGAGAGAGAAACATTGGTTGCCCTGGACTGGGGATCAAACCTGCAACCTAGGTATGTGTCCTGACTGGGAATTGAACCCACAACATTTTTGTGTATGGGATGACACTCCAGCTGAGCCAGGGCAACAATAAGTTTTTAAAGATCTTTATTTAAAATTGTATTCCTGGAATAGAATCTTTAGATTCAGCTTGAATGGTTGAAATTGTCTCCAGAAATGTAACATTGTATTTTATAGGTTAATATTCATATGATGGCTGTAACTGTAATATGCTTTTTGAAATCACACATATATATTTGTAGAGCTTATTTTTTTTTAGAGCTTATTTCTTTGATGCAGTTTAACAGCTTCACAAAATGATTCTGTAGGTTTTCCAAAAGATAATGCAGCACTGGTGAGAATATCTCTTTAATATTTTGGAAAGCACAAGCATAATATAAGACCATAGACATTGCACAAGGAAACCTAAGAGATAAATGTGGTAGGATTTAAAGATGTGGAAGGAGCTCCACACTGACCTGAGGGTCCTGTAGATGAATAACAATAATAATACTTATATATTGTCTTACTCTTCTTTCTCTTTTGGACCTTAGAGATATAGAGGGTTGAGTTAATTTTTTTTTTCTGCTCATAGCATAGTACCATGATTATCCACTCAAGGCTTTTCTCTTATTTCTTTTTATCCCCTCATTCTATCATTCCATTCCCATTTCTCTCCCTTTCACAGATATCTCCTACAGTAATGTGTTCGATATATGTACGTATGAGAGATGTGGGTATATATTTGGATAAGAATGAATCTTTATTTTTTAAATTTCTTTCCATCTTTAAATCAGTTTTACTTTTCAATTACAGTTGGCATATATTATTACATTAGTTTCAGGTGTACACCCTAGTGGTTAGACATTACATAACTTAATAAGTGGTTATCCTGATAAATCTCACACCCATATGATACCACACATAATTATTGGAATATTATTGATTGTATTCCATATGCTGTACTTTACATCCCCATGACTGTTCTGTAGCAACCAATTTGTACTTAATCCCTTCATCTTCTTCACCCATTCTTCCAACACCTCATCCCATCTAGCTACTGTCAAAATGTTCTCTGTATCTGTGAGTCTGTTTGTTCCTCTTGTTCATTTATTTTGTTTTTCAGACTCAATTGTTGATATATATGTATTTATTGCCATTTTATTGTTCATATTTTTATCTTTTTTCCCCTTCTTAACCCTGTGGAGGACTCAGTCAAAAAAATTTACAGCATAGGTAGTGTATATCCAAGAGATACATTCATTACTAATATGTGCTGAAATGTGAAAAAAAAATTTTTAATTCTGCAAATATGCATTTATTATATTTATATAATAAAGTACATGATTTTAAAATTATTTTCAGTTACAATATAGAAATTATTTAACAAAGAAATATAAAGCAAAGAATAAATTTTTTCTTTCAAATTACAGAAACATGGATAATGCTAAAAAATACAACCAAAAAATGTCTTAACATTAAGGAGAATCGTCAATAGTTGGCTTTGTAAAACATTTGTAACGGTCATCACAAACAATATTGCTATACTCAAGGCATAAATACTTTGTTCACATTTGCAAAAATATTTTGATAAGTGATTCATTTTAGATGCATAGCACATCACACATCTTTTTCTGATTGTCAATGGAGCCTTATCTATGTTGTCATTAGAATTTCCTTCAGTTTGTGTTTGAAATTGATGAAGTTTCAGGTGTAAAGGCTTATCACCCATAGAGATTTCTGAATGCCTTTTTATTTGTTCTGACACTAACTGAATTACAAGATTTCTAATAAATATTCTGTGCCTTATTTTCATATTGCTGTTCAGTGTATGAAATCTGAGCATTTATTCTTGCAATATTAAAAATTGTGTAAAATACAACCATAAGCCACCTTCTGGTGTTCCTGACCACATTATATGTACCTATCATTTGGTCCACAATGTTAACTCCTGACTTCGTTTGGTTATAATATTCTATGATGTCAGGCTTTTGCAAAACTAATCTTATGGCATCATC